TTAGCGTATATCTTAGGTCCTTGTACAGTTTCTTTTTACACTTCATATTTGTGCTATTTTTGGATATAACTGGGACCCTGTGTACATAACGTTGATCCACCTCATGTACCACATGTGAAATGACAATAAACCAATTTGAACTTGAACTTGAGATTATCTTAAAAGTTGAGCTACCTTAAATATGAAGTTAGTCAGATAAACCCTTCCTTTTTTACCTCGCATAGATGTATAATTGTTTTTGTTTCTTGGGTTTGGTAGCTCAAATGATAGCTCTGCGTTGAATGGCACCTTTCGTTCTGATGCTGCATTGTGCTTGCACAATATTTTGTTTAGTAATAGTCATTATTTTTTATTCCGTAGATCGTGTAAGTATGCAATATGTGTAGTCCTACATTTCAATTTCGTCTTGTCCTCTAGATAATTCAGGCGCTGGCTCGAGATGCTTCATACTATCAGTTGCCACATTTTGTTTTTGAAGTTTAACTGCAAACTTATTCAAGAATTCTAGCACTTAGAACAATCCAGGTATGACACAATAACTGGCTGTTAGCCTCTGTTGCAAGTCTGCAAGCGGCTATGAATATTCCACCTGCTAACATGCTAACCCTTGAAGCATGTTGCAAATGTTTGTTTCAAACTGGACTTATCAGAAAAAGAGAGACTGGTAGACACGTCGTTATTAACTGGAATATCCACTGTATATAACCAACCACCTCTTATAAAAGAGCACAAAAGTTTAGGGGAACCCCTCTCAGCAACTAAATAAAGGCTTTGGGCAACAAATAGGAAGGGGGAGCACTGCTCCATGTGACCTGAGGGCAGGGGCGTTGTGTATGTATGTATGTATGTATGTATGTATGTGAGTGTGAGTGTGACAAAGCAACAACAAAAAACAATGACTTCAGCATCTTGTAGGAACAGACTGGAAATTTTAGTGGTTTTGACAATGAGACTTTTTAACACCGTGGTATGGCTTAAAACTGGTAATCAGCCCATGCCTACTCTGCATGTGTACGTATTTTTGTGTAACTGATGCCGACCACCGTATTAACGGCTTGATGTAAATCAGCGCTGTAGTTCTCTGCACTGAGGTTAAACTGTGAAAACAGTTTTGCGATAATCTTTGTTCAATATGGCTCCAGACTGAGGACATTCAGGCAGAGAAGGTAATTGAAGTTTTCTCATTGGGGCTGTGGGAGGGGTGCCAGATGCTAGAAACTAATGAAACCCAAGGGCTGCCAGAGTATGCTAGATTAGCAAACTGAATATAAAGTACTTTAGTTGTTTAGACAGACTGCATGTCAAAAAAACACTTAATTGCACAAGGATAAACAGAAACGGATAGAAAGGCATCACAAAGATTTAGCTGGATATTGTGCCTAAATTGGTCACCCGTGAAGAAATCTATCAGCCTAATTTTTACATTTTTTTGGCAGTTGTTTTATGAGGGTTGTTACTTAGAAATATTCGCCAAAACAGTATTAGTAGGCTGTATTAATTCCCAATATTTGTTGATCTGCTGTTTAACAGATTGTGCACATACATGGTTTGAAATCTCACAGGGCTGCTGCCAACACATCTGCTTATAAACTGCTGTGAACTCGTAATTAGTGCAGTCGTAATTTCGTTTTTAATAAATTTCTATATTTTTGTCAGCAATATCATGTTTCTGTGAACTTCTCTTAAGGGAACTGTTTATGTAAGACTTTATATTGTGGTGGATTTTAAAGGTTGTAAAATCTGGGGGTGCAACAAAAGCTGTATTTACATTTGTAGTGGAGCTTAACACCACTCACAGGTGAATAAAATTGCAGTGTATGTGCAAATCTGTGGCAGAACCCAGCTTTATTTGTCTTATCCCACCCCTCTTTTACCCTTCAATAAGAGGAGACGCACTCCTTATATAAATGGACTCTACCCAATTGTTCTTGCTCCTGAAGTCTTTTCTCCAGACATTTCAGAAAGCTATTACATTGCCAGTTTCTGACCTCCAAGATCTTCAAAATGTCTAACGGCTTAAAACTTCAAAAAGCTTTTGAAAGCTGATTTGTCACCTCTATCCCTTCCACTTTTCTCAAACGTGTTTCAAGGCAAATTTTAAATTCATAGCAGCAGACCCTGACAGTGTTGGCTTGTTGGTTTCCTTAGCAATAATTCCTTCTATAGCTCATTGGATTATTTTCTTTTGCCTTTTGCCTCACCTATTGATGATGAAAAACTAACATGCAGTTTCCAGCAAACTATGCATTTCAACGAGTCTCTTGTCAAGACCTTGCCTACTCTATAACCAGAATGGCCCGGGCCATAGCACATTCACAAGTGAAGGCTAAATTGATTTATTTTTTTTTAAACATGAAAGCCTCATTCTTCAGTTTCCTTGGCAGCAGTTTTCACAGTCTTCATTATCAAGGATGCAATCGTTTTTGTTTACCTCTTTTTTTTTTTTTTGACCATGTCACACATTTATGCACATATTTGTATACACCTGAGAGCTACAGTACTTCTTGTCTTATTTATATATTTCGTAAGGAATCATTTTTTATTAGCAGTGATTAGAAAAGGATGTCTTTGATTTTGAACGAGTATTTTTTCTCTTAAAAAAATCATTTTAAAGAATGGATGCCCTTAACTTGCATAAACTTGCACTGATAAAGGCATCACTCATTCTCACCACCCACTCAGTCCTTGGATTGACACACATGACATGCACCAACCAAAACACCCTGAAAACTATTGCTTCATCCGCTTTAGTTGTTCATTTTTTATCTCTCAGCATGCAGAACAATGTAACAACAGACAGATAATCTCATGAGCATGCCCTACCTGTACTCCTTTTCAAAAAATTAAATTCAGATAGCAGCTTCCTGTTTTATCTTGTCACCTTGAGAATTTCTGTAGATTTAATGCTGGAAGGCATGATATGCTGCTTGTTGATTAAAGCATCGACAGTGAATGCTAATGTTTGGAGATGGTGTTGAGCTTTAGTCAAGGTGCAGACTGTACTAACAGTCTAGCTATCGTTGGTCTTTTTTGTATGACTAACAGCTCCCAATGCAATTTGTTTGTTTTGTATTAAAAAAATAGTCTTCAATGTATGATTTTTGTAAGTAACTTTAAAACAAAACTGGTACCACTTTACAACAAGGCTCCCCTTATAGATGGCTAATACATAGTTTATAGATACAATGTTAATTCCTCTATAAACACTTTATAATTCATTAATAACTGCTTAATTATGCATTAATTAATGGCGACAGAGAGACAAAACTGACCAGTTTCTTGCCAAATAGTGAGCCAAATCTGTTCACCTATATATTTAATCTAGAGTTATATTAAACATTTCAGACTAAGTTACTACCTTGTAAGCACAATAAGCATTTGTAAACCTATTTCTTTAGCATATAATATTGTAATTTATCACTGCATTGCAAGTATCTACAACTAATATTATATATTTAAAAAAATAGGTTTACAAATGCTTATTGTAGTAACTTAGTCTGAAATGTTTAACAACTCTAGATGAAATATATAGGTGGCCAATTTGGCTCACTATTTGGCAAGAAACTGGTCAGTTTTGTCTCTGTCACCCTTAATTAATGCACAATTAAGCAGTTATTAATGATTTATAAAGTATTTATAGATGAATTAATAACATATCTATAAATTATTTATTATTCATCTATAAGGGAGCCTTATCGTAAAGTAGTACCCAAAAAGTAAAGTGCTGGTTTAGCCGCTAGTGTGATTTGGATGTACAAGACTTAAAACATAATTTTTTCCTTCATTGTTCTAACAGTTTCTATACAATGTTTAGATTCACAAACGGCGTAGAAAACTAGCCCAGCCCTTATTATAAGTTTCCTAAAACCTGAAGTTCGGATAGAATCTTAAAGGACACTGAAGAGCTGTGAAATACTGTATGAAGGACAATAAAATGCTAAAAGCAGAAACTTTTAATCTCATGGACAGACTTCTGCCTTCTGGTTTATTTCATACAATTCTCTTTTGCAAATGTTTGCTGCTTTTCTACACCTGTCAAAATGTGAACTTATCAATAGGTGGATGCACTGTGGTATAGTCTTCATCCATCTGTCCACCCCAGCTCCGAGGTCTAGGTCACAAATCAAAGTCAAATTTAAAACACGATCTTTGCTTGTCTGAGCCATTGCAGTAAATTGCTGTATAACAGTTAATTAACGGGTGTGTATTGTGCCATGTGGTACCCTTGTAATACTTTAATTTCTTATGTGGCATGAGGTGCAGTAATCTGTACCTTTTTCTCAACAGCAAAAATATTCTAGACAACTTCTCGTCGACATAGTCTCCCTGTTCTTAGGTTGTATTTTTTTTGGATAACTCTGCTTCCTCCTGGAGTCTAAAGAGAACAGACATGACTTTAGTTTTGGGTGTAAGAATATATGTGTGTCCAAAATTCATGTTAATGCTGTAATTTACTGGTAACCTGTTCAAGGTTTATGTTAGGCTAAATGTAGCGGCTTAAACCCAAGCAACCCTCGGAAAGATACATTTGAGACAGACAATTTAGTTTTGAATGCATAGGAGTTGTAAACAAGTACGTATCACTGTTCAAGAAGGATTTTATGAACGGATTATGGTATTAGTTTATCTGAGTGACATTGCTTTTCTTTCAAATATTTTTAAATAAACAACGTTAAATTCACTTTTTCATATCTGGATGTTATTTCTCTGAAGAACGAGACATTTTCTGTCATAGAATTTTGGATTTTGTTGAATGTGCTTTCCATTGTTTTTTTCCACTTCTTTACTATTTTAGTGGAGATCTTTTTTATATCGGGCATGAAGTGAAAAATTTATGACTGCTGTCTTACTTTTTGCTACAAAGTTTAGATTTCTGCCTGTGTTTTTCTGTCTAAAAGCTTTTCCCAGTGGCTGATGAGAATGAAATTGTTGTTGTCAGCTGTCACTCCGACATTGTTGTGGTATTGATTTTTCCTCTTTAATTAAATTTTTTTCCATAGTTGGGTGCAGAGTTTTGGGCACGAGGGCCTCGGACTCCTGCTCGACATTTTGGAGAGATTGCTGTTCAAAAAACAGTAAGTTTGTGTGTTCACTTGTCTTTTTTCTTTAAGCATCTTTCCAGAAATCTGTGCACAGCGTTGGTGTGAAGTGGTTATTCAGCACAGTTTTATTGTGGTAATAGTTTTACTTTATCGTAATACCTGTAACTGAATGTTTTTGTAGAGGTATTACAATTATTATAATTAGTAATAGTTATTATAATTGTCTGTTTGCTTGTTGTTCAGTTATCTGCAGCTCATTCTCATAAGAAAATGTACACCGATTTCTAAACTTTGTACATAAATAATGTGTAGTTTTTAAGCTGTAAAGCACAACCACATCTCATCCCTCTGTTGTGCCCGTAGGCAAGAGAAGATTGACAAGAAGAACCAACATAAAATTGTTCAATGTCTCAAAGCATTCATGAACAATAAGGTAATGGAAAATGTTTTGTTTTTCTTTAAAGAAAAAAAAAACATCATTTAGAAGTTTTAATATGCTTATGTCTTTTATTTCTCGCAGATTATCACTTCGTTTTAAAGTGTTTATAACTGCAGGTTGACCAATATGAGTGTTTCTATTGCCAATCTGGATCTTTAAAAATCAGGGCTGATGGAACAGACTTTTCGAATTTTGGCTAATATGTATTTTTTATTTAATGTATTGCTTAACTTAAAAATGCCTATTTAACCATCCTTAGAAGAACTTGGAAATTGTTAAGGTACATACTTGGCCGATTGTGTTTCTTTTTATCTTAAAGCATGGCCAAGATCAGCTGATTAATCAGTCTGACTGTATTTACAACCACCAAACTGTCTGATTGTTCTAAGAAGAACATTTCCACTTCCTGTGCTTTGTGTCTGTCAGCTGCTCAGTGTAATATTTGTTATTGTGGGGCTTACTGTATATTTCACAGCCCTTATTGCCTGTAGTTAAGGGCATTTGCTTTTGTTGCTGCTTTTGGAGTTCGATCCAAGTGGGAGATAATGTACGTTGAGGGTTGTACTGTTGTTACTACTAGAACCCCCCCCCCCCCCCCCAAGTCAAAATTTTAAAAATCCACTTTAATCCTGACAATCTCACATCTGTTGTTTGTGAGTAATTGGACACATGGGTCTTTAATTTTAAAGGCTTGTTGACCTTTGAAGTAGAAGAAAATCACAACACTAAAAACCAACATCTTTAGGAATTTAGTTACACCGCCTACTTAGGGAGACTTTTTAAAAAATAAACCTCAACACAGGATAGGGAAGTTCCAGCATTTTGTGTGCTGCAAAAATAAACAAATATTTGAAATAAAGAGACTTAAAAATATAGCAATGACAACTTTATGGCTATATTTTTAGTGATTTCATTTCTCTTATTTTATGTGTGCTTGTAAGTTTTTACCTCAGCTGTTTTTTAACTACCTTTTTCCATTTTTTATGTAAAAAATACACCACTTATAAAAATTATATATAAAACAATATCAAATTCCTATAAAAGGACATAGATGTATATTATATGTAAACATTATAAAATATATATATATATATATATAAATAATATATATAAAAAAAATAAATAAATGAAATATATGTAAAATAATAGTGATAGATTTGCCAAACACCTACAGACTTGTTCAAGAGATTTTATTTTACAGTTTTTTTTTGTTTTTTTTTTACATCCTTCCAACTTGAGTTGCTCAAAAAAAAAAAGGGAAATTGCCACATGGAGCTAAAACCCAGCAGAGACAGATATTCAGCCCCTCTGGCACAGATTGTGCTGTAAGGTCTCATGTAATCCAGCATCTCAACAGGCGCCAGACACCAGCATTTACCCGTAGGCCTTTCTGTCAGTCCAGACCTTTCCTGGGCTGGAGAAGCATCTTGGGACAGGAGGTACCCACCATGCCAAAAAGACAGACGTTCTCTGCCAGCTGTCAGTGCAGCCTGTTCTTCTGCTTTCCTCCATCAAATCACACACGCACATTTGTTCTGTTGTCCATCAACCAGTACTTATCACCGCCGTTATAAAAGTCACCTCAATGTAAAATTAATATTTGAACAACTTAGAAAAGTATAACTTCTTTGTATGTTCTGAATTTAATTAAAATCATTATTTACGCTGCATATGAGAAGTTCTCTGCATTTCCTATTTCCACAGTGGTTAAACTGTTGAAGACTAAACCAACACTTGGCAGATTGAAAGGAATAAAGGAAGGACTGAATTTTTATGTGCGTGCGTGTTTAGAAATTGAGTACTGAGTTTTAAAGACAGAATTCTATGAATACCAAATACTATAAATACAACATAACTAAATATTTTTATTTTATTTTATATTACACAACAATCTATAGACAAACAATAGTTTTTACCTGCTCAGTTCGACTTAGTTTTACAGCATATCTACAGATTTATTTTAATTAAACACCAAAAGTAAAAAGAAGGCAGGATATAAAGTCCTTATTTGCCAATGGCTCATTCAATTCAATTCAAAAATACTTTATTGATCCCAAAGGGAAATTATTTGTTGTAACTCGTTATCCTCATTTCATTAAGAGATGTTATAGATACTGATGGCATAAAGAACCTGTTGACAGTCATTGGCCTTTTAGCAGTTGGGTAACATCTACTAATGCTCAACGTTGTCTGGTTTGTCCTTGACGTTTGTTTTTAAAGTAACAAGATAAATGTAGATTATTTTTCACTGTTTTTTTGGGGGACCATCTATGAGTTTATAAAACAACGTTTTTGCTCATTCGAGTTAATTCAAAAGTCTGACATTTTTAAAACCTCAATGCATAATTATTATTTTCATGGCAAAAAGGGGAAAATAAATAACAAACAACTATTAGTGCCCATCAGGAAAATGATCAGTTTTTACATTGATTCGTATCAGTGTAGCCTCAAAGTTGAGCAGCTTATCCATCTGCTGGAGTATTCAAACGCTTTATTGTCAAGCACTGTTTCATTTTTCAATAATAATCTTATGAGATTATTGTTTTTAGTTAATAACATCTAATTTGAAAACATAATCACAGGTCTCTTATAAAAAAAATAAGAAAAAAAAATAGTTTTCATTTCTGCAAGTTATGCTCATCTAATTATTGTGCTGGGCGAGACCTCTATCGCTGCATATAAAACATTACAGGAAAAGAATCAGTTCCCTGTAAATGGCTTCAGTTTGTTAATCATTCAGGTGAATTTCAAAGTACAAAAAAATGCCTGTAAATCAATCTTTAAATTATGATTTTTTATTTTCATCCATCCATCCATCTATTATCTTTACCTGCTTCTTCCTTTTTGGGTCGCGGGGTCACAATTTTTTTTTCTGTTTAGAAAATATATATATATATTCTGTTTGAAAATTAGTTAGAATATAGTTCATATGAGGCATCATGGTGTGTTTTGTTGTTGCAGTACGGCCTGGATCGAATCTTGGAGGAGGAGAACAGTCTTGCTTTGCTGGCAAGAGCCATCGATCCGAGTCAGTCTGCCATGATGACCGACGTTGTAAAGCTCCTGTCAGCCATTTGCATTGTAGGCGAGGAGAACACGTATGTTCTTTCAGTCAACACAAATATGTTTACCTTTAAAATCTTAATGCCCACCATATTTTCATATCACATACTGTATCCAGCGAAATATGATAGACAAAACAAATAATTACCTATGTTCTGTGGCAATCACTGAAAAGTAACACAAACTGATTTCAAAATCTTAGATTTTGTGATTATTTCAAGATATTTCAGTCGCAAATTTGGAAAGAGACCCTTCACTTCCACATATGGGGTGTGACATCACGCTGGGGATCGGATCATGCAGTACCGCCAGATTTCTATTGCGAAAGACTAGAGGCAGCTGCAAAAAATGGCAGGCTCTTGGAGAAAACACCCCCATCTGTTCTCACCTCCCACCCCCCACAAACACCCTCCCACCAACTTTCTGACTTAGGCCTGAAGTTATTTGTCAAGTATCAAAAAACCTACAGGAAGAAGAAGAAGAAAGAGACAGGGAAGTTAAAGGAAGTTTGGCGCGATTAAGACGCAGTGAGAGCGGGAGTGAGTAATGAAATGTGAGAGATTTGTGATATTTAGCATGTTTGAATTTTATAGTTGGGTTGTAGTGTAGTGTGTTTAGTTTTAGTGTGAGTCAAAACGAGGCAGTTTTTGAACATGAAGCTGCAGCTTCTATTTGAGATGGAAGATGGAGCCGCAGACCCAGAAATGGACGAAGCCGCGGAGTCTGAACCTTCTCAAACAGAAGAGGCAGAGATGAAAAGAAAAACGAAGTCTGAGTCAGAGTGAGGACTTTGAGGAGGATCATCGTTTGTTTTAGAAGAGGATAAAATGGAAGAGTGCACCGAGCTCCATACTCCTGCATGTGCCTGATCCCTGGCGTGACGTCATGAGCCTTCAGTAATCATCAGCCATGTGCTCAGGTGTTTCTTTGACTGGTTTGTTTGTTTAAGGTTTTTTTTAACACTTGCGTGGCCCAAGTGCGAAAAAAAAATATAACCATTGAATTCCACGACAGTGTTTACCCCCTTAACAGCATTTAGGACTACAATATGGTGTCTGACTTTAAATAGTTAAAGCAAAATATTCTCCCACTTTATGAAAGCAGAGTTGTCCTTTTTCTTTCCTGACCAGAAATTACTATTTAGCATTAAATAAAACGTTTTATTTTAATTAAGATGCACATGTACAAAAATTATAAAGATTAATTGTTAACTGGTTTTACCATGAACCAGCCAAACTACAAATACTTATAACACAATATGCATATAATTCTTTATATAGTTATATATTTATTTATATATTATTATATATTTATAAGCACCGATTGCGCAATAAAGAAAACGACAAGTTTGTGTTTGATAAAACTCTAAATTTACACGTTTTTGTCCAGTTATTAGCTAAACATTTAATATTCTCATTTAGTTTGGAGAAGGTTCTTGAGGCCATTACGACAGCAGGAGAATGGCGATCCATTGAAAGGTTCAGTCCTATCGTGCAGGGACTACGAGATCGCTCCATACAGCTACAGGTGAGTACAAAAGCGCACCTGCTGTATTCTTCAATTGTTTTGGGGTAAAACCGAGTGATGGGTATTCTAGATCACAAATGTAATCACTGATGAGGCAGCTTGTTTTGTTCCTTTATTCTATTCAAGGATTATTCTATGAGAAGGTAGTAGATTTGTATGTTCAAGTTCAAGTCAACTTTATTGTAGTTTCCATCACACGTGGTACATGAGGTGGAACGAAATTACCGATATGTGCACAGGTATGTGTTAGTTGTTCTAAACTAGTTGCAATAAATGGAACTTATGCTTGCGTAGACTCTGTCATCAAGGACATGGCAACCCGTAAAAGTTACGATCAGTTTACAGTGTACAACTCCAACTTTTAATAGAGCATTAGGCATGACACACAGCCATTCACTCTAATGTATACCTTCATGCAAGGGACCAAAACATCTCTTGTGATCCAGGCAAACAAAGACCCTCACATCCCCTAGGCTCCCCAGGTTGGAAACAAAACCTGTTATACAATGAATGGGATCTTATTAGGCAAAGCTATTCTAACTGTATGCTGAATTACAGAGTATTTATGCAATAATTTGTGTTACACAATGAAATCGTTTCAATTTAACCTTGAAATTGCACTCCTACCATCAGGAGGTGAGTGGTCCTGCTGCTTCATTAGCTATTACATTGTGTTTGTTGTCTAAATTGTAAATACATCTCATTAAACTTTTTTTTTTGTAAATGTCTTTGTAGAAAAACTTAAAAACTAGATACAAGCCTCCCCCAAACCCCAGGGTTAGATTTTAAGGAAGAACAACAAATACATTACACTTGCTTTCATATGCATGAACCTTCAGCACCAGATGCTTCTGTTAAGTATAAATGACCAGTTTAATGATCGGTTTAGGCACAGATGGAACAGAAACTAAGCCTGCCCACAAATTCATTTACACTGTTGACATGGGACTGATATCATTGTCATCATCAGCACACAGACATCAGTGGACAGATGGAAAGACTAAATGAAATAATGTTGTCCTAATGTTTGCTTAACTTTCACCTAATAGCCAGAAATAATATCCAGTCAGCAAGCCTCGTAGTGTCAACAGACTCCAGCTATCAAGACTGTATCCTACAGCTAATAAAAACCTCAGGACGTCGAATAACCAGACAATAATATCAGCAAGACAAACAAGAATGACAAAATAAGCAGTGCAACACATATCTTTATGTTTACAAAGCAATGATGTATAAAATCCCATCTGACACACACACTTTAATTATTTATTATGCGTTGGGGCTAAATGGGACTGAATCAGTTTTTGTCAACAATTTGGTGTATGCATTTTTAATCACTGGTTTAGGAATGTGACTTTAGTAATAACTGCACGCATGCATACACGCATAGTGACTATAAAATTAGAACATCTGTGACCATTTCCTCTTTTGGCTGATTCGTATAACTATGCAATGATTTTTGCTAAGCCTAATTTAACAAAGACATCTTTTTTTTGTCAATGCTGCGTTATAATTTACGTTTAGTTTGCTGAAAGTACCTTTTGATTGGAACAAAACTTTAGAGAAACTTCACAAATGAGATAACGGGGGAGCGGATCAATAGCAGAGGATGAGAAGGGAAGAAAACAATCCAGGCACTCGAACAAAATGGAAACCAGAAATAAATAGGATTTTGAATTACAGTTCTCACTAGATTTTCTTCACATTTAACTCACAAAATATATAGTTGTAAAACCACAGTCGCTGTGGTTTTTTGTGGTCTGTGATTCCATTTTGCTGCACTTTTCATTCCCCAAGATGCATAAAATATCATCAATTCCATTTACTAAAAGGCACAAAATTTAACCATAGCTATTTGTCTCTGCATTGTCCATTCTTCACTGTGCGTCTTATGGAAAATACACACTAAATGGGAACTCCTAAGGTATTAATACCTCAATGCTTTTCTTAGATTTTTTGAGCCTATGCAATTTTTGCAGAATTCTTTGGAATATAAAGTTAATTATAGTTAACTTATTAACCATATTATGACAATAAAATGCACAAAATAAAAAGAGTGATTTAGTTTTTGAATATGCTACCAATAACCTTGTTTTGACTCATTTTGATTTTCTTCAAGTCTAAGTACCCTATTTTCCGGCGTATAAGTTGCTCTGGAGTATAAGTCGCATCAGTCACATCAGTCAAAAAATCATCATGAAGAGGGAAAAAACTATAAGTTGCTTCCGCGTATAAGTTGCATTTATTATGCATCACCGTTGACCCATCGTGTTTATTTAATGGTCAAAACAGCTTCATTTTGCCTGGGTGGAGCGGGGCCATCCATCCCTCGCGGGCGGTGCCGCTAGCTCTCCAACGTTCCTCCACCTGCACCAGCTAAGTAAAGTGAGCGCGCACGGGAGGACTAGTTGTTGCAGTTCTTAGAAATTCAACAAGATTAACACTTAAAATTAATTATTTGCTTGCTTGACATTATGACATTATTCATTTCGCCTAGGCACCATCCATGGATGGATGGATCGATGGATCGATCGATGGATATTACTGTCAACACTATTAAAGCAAACACTGCTGAAAATTATAAAATGATCAACAATAAACATAAAGTGAACATGGCCCACTATAGTATGGCCCAGTGGTAAAGCAGCCGCTTTGGGATCACAAAGTCGCAGGTTTGTTTCCATATGTAGTGGTTTCTTTTAGAAAGACACTTATTACCTAGCTGTACCTCTGGTGCTTACATGGCTGCCAGCTGCTCCACTTGGAGTAGCTCAAGTGTGATGGGTTAAATGCAGAGAACTAATTTCATCATTGTATACATCGATGACGACACATAGCACTTTCACATACAGGCCTGGCGTTGTTCACTTCAGCGCTTGGGTCATTGCCTGTGCCTCTGTGTAGATACAAACATTATTAGAAACAGTGTCGTGTTTACAAGGTAAATGGTTGTTTTGGAAAGATGGTGTTCTTGTGTAGACAGGGCCTTAGACTCTTTATAGTGGGTTTCTCATTCATCCAAGAGCACACACACTTACACAGAGCATCTTCATGTGTGGATATTTGGCACTGTAGAGTGGTACTTCATTACCAACCTCTCAGCCTGAGAGTCACCACTGTGATGCAACTTTTACTACAATATAAAAGTTGCACTTTGAAGACAATATTTTTACCAAGGCTGAATGCTCATGATAAATAAGTTTTATCAAACTGACAATGATCCATATGGCTCCTGAATATCTAGCATCCTCAAACACTCTTTTCACACATGAGTAGATTTCTTTTTCTGATCAATAATTTATTTTTTTTGGTTTCCTCCGCTGCTGGAAGAGTCACACGATATACTGAAGTCTCCGCACAGTAAACCAAACACAGAGGACAGTGAAAAAAAAACGGCATTCTAAACAGCGAATGTGCCCTTAAATGGACTGTTAATTTTGTGTGTACGGGTCTGCAGTTGTTGCATTAATATTAAATTCACCACCCCTAGTTGGTGACTGAAGAAAATAGACATCCATTAGTTATGGTCCTCTGCTTCCAAGGGACATAACTCATTGTGAATGCATGCCAGCATGCTTTTCATCAACTTCTGGCAGAAGAAATCCGTCATCTCATTCTTTGGTTCTCTCTTTCACCCTTCCCTCTCTCTCCCTGCCTTTGTACACTTGGTGTTGCAGGTGGCATGCATGCAGCTCATCAATGCCCTGGTAACATCTCCCGATGAGCTGGACTTCAGGCTGCACATTAGAAATGAATTTATGCGCTGTGGACTCAAAGAGATATTGCCGGTAAGCAAAACATAACCTAAAGCACAAATACACACACACACACACACACACACACTATAAACTGATTCTCCCATTGTATTAATATTTAAATGAGTTGTCCACTTCAGTGAAATATTGTCGATTTGCTCCAGCAAATTATTTATGAAACGGGCAGGAGAGTGTGCACGTCCACAGTCTTAAGAAGCAGCCAGAAACTAATAAAGTTTATAGTGTCTTGACTAATAATCTTCCTTTTGGCATTCATAATATTTTTCTAATGTGTTTATCTGTTGTAAACAATGTCACTGTTGCTTCTAATAGAAAATAAAGTGAAAAGCTGAAGCCCACACCTGCAGACCATTGTGAAGAATGGTGCTTAAAATCAACTCATTTCCTTTGAGTTAAATTTTTCATATTTGGTCCAACTGTCATAAAACTTTTGAACTTTTGTATCATCTTTATCCCTTTTTATTCTCCTGCACGAATCAAAGAGGAGGAATTGGAAATACACTCCATCTGTCCGTCCATGCATGTTGTGAGCACAACTTGAAAAATAAGTTAGGTACCGACTTCCATTTTGGCGTGTGGCTACAAATAGGTGCAAGAAAGGTTCCTTTCAAAAATTGGGTTGCCACGTCAAAATCCATGGGCTACCGCCTTATATGTCAGTTCGTCTTGTGAGCTGAATAACTAAAATGAGTGTGATGTTAACTTCCATTTTGCTTTGTGGCTGCATCTAGTTGTGAGAAAGGTCACTATCAAAAATTGGGTTGCCAAGTTAAAATCTAAGCTGGCTACTACTATACAGTATATACTGTGTGTGTGTGTATGTGTATGTGTATATATTTTTTTCTAGTTTTTGTTTTACTCAAAAGTGTAGTTTTCTCAAATGATTGGGGTGGCTGAAGATTAATTTATGCCATTGCACCAGGTGGTGGATAAAATTGCTCCCTCCACTCACCAGGATCTGCCACTCTGCACGGCCTGGGACCCCCACCCCAACAAACACCTACCTCTGTTTTTATACACATTGCAACTCCTACCCCCTTGAATATCTTGCACCAAAATCATGAAGGTTTACTTGCATTCCTTTTTCAATTCCTGTCCAGAAAAACACTTGTCTCCAAAACTACAAACATTCACTATTCAAATCCCTCAGCGACAGAGAACATCGGTGTACCGCTGGTTTTATTTGTATTTCATTCTATTCTGTTTTTGTTCTTTTGACTCATGTTTTTGTAGCACTTATTGACCATCAGGAATGACGCCCTTGACATTCAGCTGAAAGTGTTCGAGGAGCATAAAGAAGAAGACATGATGGAGTTCGCTCACAGACTGGAAGAAATCCGGAGTGAACTGGAATATCCTTGTCAACGTTCCAATTTAACAAACAAAAACATGTCACGTGTTCCATTCAGTGTCTGTTCCTGCAAAACTGAAAAATTATCTCTTAAAAATGTGTCATCTGCGACACGCTTGTATTACAAGGGTTAAGGTGAAATCGCTCATAACCAGTTATTTCTAATGAAATTTATAAATGTGCTAAGTGTAAACACAATAGCTTTCTTATTTCTGTCGCTTCTTTGTGTTTAATATGAAAAGACAGTATTTCCATTAATCTGTGAGCCCTTGACTCTTTGTACTGATGCGGGGGATGTGTTCAGCATTGTGCAGAGCATTGTGAAGGACACCGGTGCAGAGCCCTACTTCCTCTCCATCCTGCAGCACCTGATGCTTATACGCAATGATCACTTGATCAGGTAAAGATCAGCATCGCACGCATCCATAAATGATCCTTGACCCCATCAGTGTCTCACTTTCTGTGACCTTCATTGGCTATTCCTAATAAATACAGCTTTGTTTGACTTATTAAGGAATATATACTCAAATAATTTTATAAATATATGTAAATATTATTTATCTAAATGCACATGAAAGGTTAAAGTCCAGCTGAGCAGTGGTAATGATGCACGCCGGTCAAGAGGTTTGGTTTTTGTGGGGGTCCAACTTCTCCTTAAAGCTCACTCAATGACTTTGGCTAACAAAGAGAATGCTTTCTCTTTCATCTCCCAGCAGCCGAGGCTCTAGAGCATTTCTCATCTCTTATTAGTGGTACTTTTCAAAGGCTTATTTTATGTTGGTTCACTCACAGCTGGGTGTGACCTGAACCTCGCGCTGATCAAAAGGAGGAGCTTTTATCTCAGCAGTATGAAATGTTTCACCTTCAGTTTTTTCCCCACCCCAAAACTACACTTTTCTGGCCCAATGTTCCCTCTTATTACACGTCTTCATCTGAAATGATTAGAAAACGTTAATGCTGGTGATTTTGGCTGCCTGGCAGGACCGTGTCTTTGAGAAACGCTTCCCGGTGTATCAATGTGAGAATATTATTTGAGCAAACACGTTCCTGCCCCGTGTTCTGTCCTGTCTCACACTGAGCTACAGCTATCAAGTATTTTACTAGCTGAACTATTTATTTTTCCACAAATAATCAGCACAGTTTCTAAAGTCCTACTATATTTCAATACACTGGTACATTTTTAGATTTTGACTTTTTATAAGAAGTGTTAAAATACCATAAAATGCACCTGTCTCTGAACATTTATTGTTTCTTTATTGTGTTTAAAAAGGTCCAAGACTGTTGGTTGTTTTTTGTTTCAACTCCGTCTACCACCATCATGTCATTGAATCAGCTCTTCTACTCACGTTGATGACTAATGTGTTTATGGAAAAAATTGGAGAGTAATTTTAATCTTTTCATGTAAAAATAAAAATGTTCTATTTTCAGTCATTTTGGTTGTTTCTGTAAGTAAACAAACATACTTGGTAGTTGGCAGCCATTTAAACAATTTGCTCACCAGTTTTTAATTTAAGGGCATGTATAGGGAAAAACATAGGGGGAGTGGTGACACAGAGGTTAGAGAAGGTGGGCCTGGTATCGTAAGGTCGCCGGCTCAACTCCCCGGATCGACAACATCAAAATGTGGGTGGGAAAGGCGAAGCATCCACACCTGCCTCCACCCTTATTTTCCCCACTCTGGGCCCTTGAGCAAGGCCCTTAACCCCCTCCATCTGCTCCCCCGGGTGCCCCAGATAGCAGCTCTCTGCTCCACACAGGGGGCTGTGGTAGCTCATTGGTTTGTGGTTGTGTCAGGAAGGACATCCAGCGTAGAATTAAACAGTGGCCAAGTCTTTGTGCGACTTAGTTCGCTGTGGCAACCCCTGAAGAAGGGAGCAGCCGAAAGAAGAAACACAATATACCGTATATATACACAACGGTGTATGAGGAAAAACATCTCTGCAGCTTTGTTTCTTTTTGAAATTTTTTTACGACATTGCTACCACTACCTTTCAATTATTGTTTATAATCAGCAACCCCAATGCGGTATTAATCAGTCCAACATTTACCTTCTGCCTTCTGTTTGACGCTCCGAAGACTGATTGTCCTCACGTGACGTCACATGAGCCCTCTGACACTCAGCTTTAACATCTGTTTTCACACTTTGAGTTTGCACTTGACATACTGTATGTGCTAAGTATTTGCTTGCACCTTTGACAGTTGTCTTTGTCTGAATACGTACATAACAAAAAACAGTGTTTACGAATAATTAGATTGACTCACAGACCAAGAGATGATTGTAAAATCAGCCTAATGGCTGCAGCTGTGCTGGGAGATTGTCTGTGATGGAATTTAAATCACAGGCAGTTGCTTTTACTTATTGCTTTGTTTTTACTCTTATTATACTAGGACTAACTACACTATTTATACACTTTTATTACAAGACTTATGATGCGTCTTTGTTTCCATCACCTCTTTTGCCCATGACAAGCACTCTGTCTCTTAGTTTGCTTAATGGCAAATCATTTTACTGACAGAATTGACAATTTGTTTTCCATTTCCAGCTGGAGTCTCATATTGCCTCCATTTTAACTCATTTCCTTTGAGGCGGGCTTAAACTTTTCCTGCCCAAACACAGAGAATTAATAAATCTAGTGTCAACAAAGATATCTGGTTTGCGTTTGATTCAGTAATTTCACAGCAAAGTATTTTCTTGGTTTTTCATTTAAAAAAAAATATTCAAAAAGTGTGCAATAAATGGGTAGCTCAATGAATACATTGGCAAAATATTTTTTTAATTGATTAACATGAATTAAATGAACTGTTTGTTGCTACATTTTCTTGTCCCTTTTTATTATTGCTACCAAAGTCTTGGATCATAAATCAAACATTCGTGAATAATCAACACATGGTAAATAGACAATAAAAAAAAATGTTTTTGCTCATCTTATAATTCATACACATCATGCTATTCAATACCAGATTCAACCCTTATGTTAAAAAAAATACCGATATTCAGTTTTTCCTCATAAGCACTAAAGTATTTAATGTTTTGATGCAAAAAGAAGTTGGACTTTGTTGCATTTTTGCAAGATAATGCACAAATCAAAGTTTTTCTCCATCTTGCTTTAGTGTGTGGGTTCTGAGATTGCATCAGATCTGCAGTTTTAACAAAATATAGTTTTTGTTAATGGGAGTTTCCTCTTGGTTATTATATGGTTACTGCATTTATGGGCTCATATGTAATTAAAGGGATACAATTCAGCATCGTTAAATATGCATTCCCTCTTTTCTGTCTTTAAAGTAATATTCATATTAGTAAGAGCTGTGTGTACATTTAGATAATAGTTTATGAGAAAATAGTTAAAACTGTTTTCATGGCAACTTCTGGCTGAATAGTGAATGATTAATTAGATTTATTTTCTTTACTGTGTGGAAAATGGGGTTGGGGGGTAGCTCAGTGGTCAATGGTTCAGTCTTGTAATTCTGAGGCTGCAGGTTTGAGCCCACACTTCATCAATGAGGGTATCTGGCACCTCCACAGAAAGGAGCAACTGAAAGATCAAACATTACCCTGTGAAAAATGACTAGATGAAATGTTGCTTTAGCACAAAAACAGAACACTACATAATATGTTCAGATGCTTTTTATAGCAAATAAGTTTCTTTATTCTTATTTTTTGTCCCGTTTCTCGTCTCCACTCCCAGGCCCCAGTACTTTAGGATCATCGACGAGTGCGTTTCTCAGATTGTGCTGCACCGCAGCGGCACCGACCCAGACTTCAGTTACCGCAAGCGCCTGGATGTTGATTTCAGTCACCTTTTAGGTAAGTTGGATGCGTCTGCTGTTAGATTATATTGATGGGTTTTCAGTAAAGCATTCATAATTAATCAGCAACAACTTGTTTTCAGAGGTGTGCGTGGAAAAAGCTCGGATTGATGACTACGAACAACGAGCCTTAGAACTGGCACAGAAGGCAAGTACTGACATCTAAAATCATTTAGATTTTTCACCTCTGTTGCATTTCTGCTTTTCTACAAGGAAAAAAACAAAAACAACATTTAGATATTGTAGGTATTTAGGTATTATTGTATACATTACTGTTAATATTCTCTATAACTCAAACACTACAAGTTGTATCTGATGCTACAAGTAGAGTAAACATGTTAAAATTAATTATCAACATATTTATTAATGAACATGAATTGATCAAACAGTATGACTTCCATAGTGACGTCTGTCTGTAAAAAAATAAACAAAAATTTGTATTTGCTGATAAGTTATAAAAACATTGATTTCTTACTTGAGTTAAAAGCAAAAATTGTTAATCATCATCATCATCATTACAGATAAAATTATGCTTCTTTTCTGCCGTTTATTGCCTGACTCAGTTTGATACATGCTAAATCCCTTTTCTATCCTGACCTGTTGATCTCTGACCTCATGGTGTGACATTACGTGTCTAAGATTTTACAAAATTGCTAATTTCTTCTTTAATCCGGTTGAATGCATGCTCTACATAAGTAAAGTAAAGTGCAATAGATATAAATTCTACATCTGTTCCCAGTGCAAAAAAAATAACCTTATCAATCAGTCAAAGCCTCTCAAATATTTTATGTGGTCACTTTTTGTTTATTTTATTACATTAGAAATGTAATGGGAGTTTTATGGCAGCACAACGGTTCAGTGGTTATCACTGTTGCCTCACAGTAAGAAGGTCCTGGGTTCAATCCCCGGTTGGACCTGGGGTCTTGCTGTGTGGAGTTTGCATGTTCTTCTTGTGCTTGCATGGATTTTCTCCAGGTACTCCGTTTTCCTCCCACAGAACAAAAACATGCATGTTAGGCTGCCTTCAGGCCCAGGCCTCCCTTGCAAAAGAAATCTGTGATCTCAATGGGATTTGTCTGGTTAAATAAAGGTTAATAAATAAATAAATTTAATGAGCACAAGTTTATGACTAAACCTGGTGGAACTGCTTCTAACACCTTGTTTTGTGTCCTTATGTTTCGTGATTTTGTGTAATTTAGCCGCTACTGTAAACCAAATTTTCACCTGAGGGACAATAAAGGTCTGAACTGAACTGAAACAAAACAAAAACTGCAAAAATTCTTGTAGGATAATTCGTGTCAAACAGAATGACCACTGCTGCTAACTGAACTTGGTACAGGAGCAGGTTCCTTCTGAGCTTAGAAAGCTTCAGTTCTTAATGTGCTTCTCAAAGGGTTGAAATCTTGATTGTTGCTCTCCTACTGAAGGTTATTAAATCTGTGATTTTCTTTGTAGTTTGATGAGGAGTTCCTCAGCAGACAGGAGGCCCAAGCTCAGCTGGCCAAGTATGAAGAGCAAACAGCTGAACTCCAAGCAGAGTTGCAGGCCTTCAGGTCTCAGGTATGTGATGTGCTCAGTGTTTTCAGCATCTTGTTCCCTCCATGACACGGGGTGGTAAAAACTCTAGCTGTGATCACTCTACAAAGACTCATAATTCCAGCATAGACATGCAATTCAACTTTCTTTTCTTTCTTTTTGTGACGAGACGTTCTCGTCTTAAGGGGCGCTGTGCGGGGACGGGGGAAGGGGGTTTTATCCACTGGACCCTGCAGTTTGGTTGGACATGGAGGCTGCTCTGCTGGCTAGCTGACACTAAGTCTAATGAGAACACTGACCGGTCCTCCATGTTGGCCATTTCTAATTCTCTGATCTCTATCCCATAAGAGGAAATTGTTCTAAAAGCAATTTATTCTGACAACCCCTTCAGCCTCACCCCTCCTCCAATTACTCCAGAGAGTTACTCCCACACCCTGGCACTGCAAGATAACTACACACACACGGAGGGGGAAGAGAACTTCCCTCTCTTTTTGTGATAATTTTTCAATTTCAGAGTGCAAACACAGAGTGAATACTCAAATAGTACCTTGGTTCAGATGGTGGCGGTGTGTTTAGCCAGTGGAGGTACATAGACATGCACACTTTGTTCTTCCATCTCTGTCTGTCCACTTCTTCTCCTCACCAACACACAGGTGCATGCTCGTGAACTCAGTGAAGGTGTTCTCTGTAGAGGCAGTGGCAGATAAGGGCCTGTGGTTGACCTTTAGCATGCATCTTTAATCAAAAACTTGTACATGGATCAATAAGTCATTTGTTCTCTGTGATACAATTTACAGAGCTCGGAGGCCCAGTTATATTAGATTTCAAACTTTAGGTTAAATTCCTTGTAGGTATATTCTGAGCAGAACTGGAACTGTTTATGAACCTTTGTGTGGCAGAGCTCACCTGTTATCTGCAATACAGTGGTTGTGTGAAAGAAACTGGTTCTGACAGTTGCTACTTGTCTGCTTTGATTCATTCATTTTTCATGTAACGTTATTTACATTTGTTTTAATTTTGTTTTAAGCAACGTGAATTATCTGTTGAACAACTACAAATAAAACCTGGAAATTCACCTCCATCAGGAGCGAACGCCAACTGTGATCAGCGTCACCTTTGATTTGTCACACTCAAAGTATTTTGAGTAATTATAGCGATTATTCTCACCACACAAATGTACAAAAAATTTAATTTTAAAACCAAAAAAAAAAAAAAAAAGTTAATCTCAATAATTTAAACGTACTAACGCTCAGTCAAGTTTAAGGAGGTTGCTGAATCAAAATTAAACAATCGTACAAAATAAAGGTCTTTTGTTAGCTTTGCTGTCCATTTTCACAATCTTGTTTAAAGATTTCTGAGCTTAATCGAAACTTTTGTCAATCCATTTTCTGCCACGTAGCCGTGGTTGGGTTGTGGAGACGAGTCCATAAGAGATGTCCAGACATTCTCCCTGCAACACTCTCCAGCTCCTCCTGGGGAATCTCGAGGCGTTTTCAGGCCAGAGAGGATATATAATCCCTACAGCAAGCTGTGAGTCTCCTCCCAGTGGGATGTGTCTGCAAACCCCCTTGAGGGACATATCCAGAAAGCATTCTAATCAGGTGCCCAAACCAACATCCGACTCCTTTTGATGAGGAGGAACAGTGGCTCTACTTCAAGCCCCCCCTCAGATGATAGAACTCCTCAGCTGAGCTCCAATGTATGAAGCTCATTGTAGCCGTTTATATCCAGCATCCCATTTGTTCGATCATGGTCCGTGCTGGAACTGCACACTACAGTATACCACAAATTTATTGTCATTGCAACATCTGTGAGTGCGGTATCAATATTTCAAAGGACTGCAATAAGTCATGAGCCATTACGTTTCAGTTACCGTGCACTCATTTTCTGCACACTAATAATAAATTTGGTCAATCCAAAGGACTCTCACTGGCCCTGATACTCACTTCTGGTTTGAGTGATAGTGATGACAAGACAAAGTGAGGAGAATGTGGACTTATCACTATTGATATTGTCTTTGCAATAAAAAAATGAAATTACAATTTTTTTCTAATAATGTGGAACCTGTATTCACACCATGACCAAAGGTGAGGGTCGGAACATAAACACGTGAGTTGCAGCTCAACTCTTTACCACGACAGACCACTAGCAACACTCATTAATGCAGATCAAGCCCCAGTCCATTGATCTATCTTTTTCTCCATCGTTCCGTCACTCATGAACACGACTCCCAGATTCTTAAATTCCTTCACTTGAGGCAGAAAATCACCCCCAGCCCTCCGGTTGAGCACCATGACCTCAGATTTAGAATCAAAGCACATTGTGTTATTGTGTTCTTCTGTCATCTGAGACAGGTGCCAAGAACTAATTAAAACAAGTATTGCTCATTATTTAAAATTTTTCGTATGTTTTGGTTTGTAAATTTGGACTTAAAGTTAAAAGGGCACAGCGCAACAGGTTTTGGGATTTGGTGACTAAAATTTAGTCAGGATTTCAAAATAAACTAATTAAAAAATTATATATATATATATATATATATATATATATATATATATATATATATTAACTAAAATTCTGTGTTTGATCTCGTACTGTAATTTTTTTTCCTGTTACATTTTTAAAATGAAATTATAAATTTTGCCTTTGCTTTTAAACAGTAACCACTTAAACATATGTAAGTTTTCTTTTTGTTTCTGTGTGTTCAGTTTGGAGCTGTACCTCCACCCAAGAGTGGAGCGCCACCTTCATTTCCATCTGGACCCTCGACCTCTCCTCCAAAACCAGGAGTGCCAGGTCCCCCTCCTCCTCCTCCTCCACCCCCTCCCCCTCCACCTCCCCTACCTGGCTGCCCAGTTGCGCCTCCTCCACCCGGAATGCCCCCTCCTCCATTTGTTGCCCCATTTGGTGCCTTGGGCTCACCCACCCACCACACGCTGCCTTTTGGCCTCAGGCCCAAGAAGGAGTTCAAGCCTGAGACCTCCACGAAGCGCCTCAACTGGTCAAAGGTGAGACTCTGAACATGGATCCAGCTTTGCTTTTACTGGAGGCTGAAACATGAACATTTTTATTTTAAAACAAATTCTGATTTTTACATTTTTAGCTTGAGTGTTCTAAACTAAAATGAGATAATGTTTATGTGCAAGTTTGGGAGTTTCCAAAAAAAAAAAAAAACTTTCAACAAGAAAGTAAAAATTCAGGCCATGCATTTCTAGTGTCCTATTTCACTGCTGCTCTGCTTTGTTCCTGAGGTTTTTTGGCAGCAGATAAACCGTACAGATGTTTTCTAAGAACTGAACAACATCATTTTACCTTTGTGCCAAGACTGAAAGTAACAGATGATGGGATGCTTTTCTCAGAGTGACCTCCTTGATCCTGCTACAGATGTTGCTCTGCAGAGCGGCATTCGTTAATGCCACAACAGCTTTTAAGTTCTTAATTTCATTAATAATTTGCTCGGAGAATGACATCTCTACAGGTGTTTAGGAAACTTAAAGATGTGTTTATGTTTTGAAGTGTACCTTGCAGAAAGGCATGAAAAAGATCTGTCATATGGTCCAACTGTAGGAGATCTGAACATCTGGGGAAGTTTGAGATGCAGCTGTTTTGAAACTTCTTTTGGAATGTTGCAAAAACCTCTTATTTCTTGTGAATAACTTAGTAGAAACATGCCATCAGACAGTACTGGCTTCCACCCTTCTCATTAATGGTGCTCATTGCCCTTAAATAAAAAAAAAGAATACATAGTTCCATCCTGACTGTTGTCGCACTTCTCCTCCATCTGGGTGGGAAGAACTAGCCAAAAGCAGCAGTGAACACATGTTACAGATCAATAATCATTGTGCACTGTTCGATTCAGTAGTGCACAAACAATGCTGATAAATCAGGCAAGATAAGTTTTCTATATATCTTGAAACTGAGAAAGCATGAAGGCGAACACACTTTACAACTCATCACTGAGCGCTGACGAGCAGCTCGCCAGTATCAACAGGGAAGACAAGCCATCTGAAACTGCACTCCCAACACTTTGTCAGCGGTATAGGAAGGTTCAGGTGTAATAAATCTGTGATCCTGTCAGTTTTTTATTGATATTGTTGCAAACAACACGTTGTTTATTTGGCTAGGATCATGCATTTTCACATAGATTAGAGAACGGCGTGCTTATAGCTTTGAGTGCAATGTGTGAATTTAGAGACATGAACCAAAAACCAAATTATTACAACTTCAAGCTCATATTTCAGTTAAATTTAATAAAAAAAATACAAACAAAAAACGGTCAACTTACTCTGCCTGTGTTCAGAACTTTGGTGTTTGTTGTTTAGGATGTGTTTGTTTACCTCCTGAAACGAGCACAGTGACTGAAAATAGATCAACCAGAGCAACGTTCATGTAAGAGACATTTTTTTTTTGTCGTTGTTGAAATCGGACAATTTTCAGATTTACACCCAGAAAATGTAATAAAATTGTTTACGTTGAAGATTGACCTGCATTTCATTATTACATACCAATACATATGGAAAGCTACTGGAGTAAATTATTTCAAAATGCACTATTTGATAAAATTCAGGTTTACTATTTTTAGATTTGATTTCATAAGTTGCAATAAATACTTTTAAACTATGGATTTAAAAACATAGGTTATGCATTTTTTTAGTGATTTTTTTTCACTGACTATAAGAAAAGCCTCAGTAGTACAATATGTGTATATGTTGGTTTAACACATAAAATATATGATATGAACTTTAATTTTTTTAAACAAAATAATTCCTTTTGTTGCAGTTTTTTTGTATTTCTTCAGCCTTCTTGCTGGAGTGCATGTCTTTCCTAAATGTGTTTTAGATTCAAATCAGCACTTTGTCAGGTCACTGTTTTCACTTCTCCTGTTGAGAAGCCATGCATGATTTTTGACAGCGTGCTATTGATTGTTCCAAAGCTTGAATTGTCCCCTTTTGCCGATTTTCTGGAAAGCGATCTTGTCAGGTTACATTTTCATGTCTTTACAGGCATTCCTTGTTCGTTTGTAAATGCCATCTTTTTTTCCAACGTTGGAAAAATGCAAACTCTACGATGACCGTGGCCACATTCATTCCTGACATGCTGGGCCTCATCTGAGCTACAACAATTGCATCTTGATTTCCTCTGAGTCACATTTGTGCAAAGGATTTTTCTTATCAGTTTATTTCCTCCTGTTATATACTGCAGTGTCTTTCTAACCCTCTGAGCTGTCACAGAAAAGATTTCCATTGACAAGTCCAGCGTAAAGTCCGAAGACCCGCCTGTCTCTCAGAGCCATTTTGTTGATGACATCATTTCAAAGGGTGACCACCGTTTCTCTAAGAGCTGCTGTTGCTCCTTCTATATGTTCTGAATAAAGCTGCAGTTCTTCCTTTAAGAATTTACTTCAGCATTTTTCTTTTCATTTTTTTCCAGTTCCTCTGGTATTTAGCTAGCTCTCATGTTCCCAGGTCATTTTATAACCATCTTTAAGCAATTAGGCCAAATGAAATTACAAGGGCTTTTACACATGCTTCAGTGAACTCACATTTTGAACTTGTATCAGGGATTCCTTGCAGGATCACTTTGTTGAAGTGAGATTTTATTTTATGGTACTCCTTTCTTTTTTTTTTTTTAACTGAAGAGTTAAGCTTTTGAGCAAATAGGCTTCTTGTCAGCATTAAATCAATGTATCTATAGAGAGATTATTTAGCTTTAAATACTTTTTGTCTTCTGTGACAGTAAATGTGCTTATCCCATTGTGTTTGTTTGCATAAAGAATTGGCAAAATATGTCATGAACCAAGAGACAAATTTTAACAAAAATTATAGGAAGTAATTATTGCATATAACTTTATAACTCAACTAACTTGAAATCAGCCTGATTCAATATTGCTGCCACATCTGAGTTTAAAAACCACAAAACAGCTTTATTTCTGTAAGAGATCGCACATTATATTATTTTCAATGTTTGACCAAAACGTCTAAAACTTGTACTTTTTCCAGCATGAAAAGGTGGCAGGTGAAATGCATTCCTTCAAGCTGGGCCTTTCCTTTTAAAAACAATTAAGTTCTTATTTTTGTACATGCTTGTTGTGCATTTTTTACATATTGTGTGTACACGAGGAGATCTTTTTAAACCTTCCAGATGAGAGCTCCTAAATGAACAGTAAAACAAACAGACTGGTTTCTCCAGACACAACGCTTTGTTCCCATATGCGCACACTCAGATTTCATTCTCTGATTTATTTAAAGTTCTTGGCAAATGTCAGTTTATAGCTCAGTTGAATGATTCTCAACGGATTAAATTTTGTAGGCAGTATTTCCACATGTACTTTATTGTACTTTTTTCTTTATGCTTGTAGCTTTGTAGCTTGGTATACCGCGGTATGTGCCGTGTTAACTGTATGCTTTTGTGTTTCTTTTAGATTCGTCCCCAGGAAATGTCAGATGGCTGTTTCTGGGTTTTGGCTGATGAGGACCGGTACTCAAAACCAGAACTGCTCAACAGAGTTGCTCTTACATTTGGTTCCCAGAGAGCAGGTTTGACTTTAACTTCATTCTAATATACCAGTTTATCTCCTGTTCTTTGCTGTGCTTCTGCACTTCTATACTTTGGAGGGTTGGTTGTATTTACAAAGCAGTTTTTATGTATTTTATTTCAGCTTTTTGTGAAATATTTATTTATCCTACAGAGTTCTTTGTTCCCAAACTACTATTCCTGTGTGAATATTTCTGTGCTGCCTGTTTACATTTACCACCTCCTTTTTTCCCTTTCCACTTCTTTCTCTTTTCCCTTTCACGCTGGCTTGCCCACGACTGTGGCAATTTGACCACAAGTGTTGGTGTGGTGCTAGGCATAGAAATGGTGGTGCGTTTGAGCAGAGTGAGGCTTGTAAAACCTTGCTGTTAAATTTTCTGCTACTTTGAATTTAGGTGAAGGTCTCGGGCATACTAAACAAACCAGATTTCTCTGCTTGATAAAACGCCACACGGTAACATCCTCTTACATTAGTAAGACCTGCAATATTCATGTACAAGATTGTTGCAATGATTAGAGCCGGAGCAGGAAGTAGCAGGAGATGTTATCACTTTTGTCCTCCCCTGTGTTTGGTCTATTAGTCCCGTCACTGATGATTTATTCACGTCTTGTGTTTTCTGTCTCGTCACTGCCTCAGCTCGCTTATGCCAACTTGAATTATTCATCCAGGTGTTATCTACCTGTCACAACTCTTTGCTTCTGCTCTCAAGGCGCATAAGACCCACCTACACACCGCTGCACTCTAACTCCCCAACGTCAAGGTGTTGAATAATAGAACTTGATCTAAATGGCAAACAGACAGTCATACAGGTGTCTTCATGGGAGGGCGGAAGAAGAATGCCCACTGGCTGACAACTGAACTGTTTTTGTTGTTGTTTGTGTGACCCAGAGCAAGCAAACTACACAAGTAGTTTGTTTTATAATTATCTTGAAACATAGCCGACCCAGGTCTTTTTCCAAATCTGGTTCTGTATCGGATACATAGATGTTTTTCAAAGTGACTGCAGTCTGAATGTTCATGCCACATTTTATCTGACTTGTACATCACTGAGGTAGAGGTAAACCGATTGATCCAAGTAGGGCTGGACGATATGGCCAAAACTTTTATCAAAACATATTTCTTAATTTCGGTCGATAACAATATCAATCAATCAACCTTTATTTATACAGGTAAATCCCATTGAGCCTCGAGGACTCATTTACAAGAGAGACCTGATTTCAACAAAGAAAGATGACAACAATGGACAACAGCAACAACAATAAGCAGTTATAAAAACTCATACTACAGTATTTTTATTTTTATTTATTTTTTTATTTAACAAATAGGATGGCAAAAAGGAAAAAGGTAACAAAACAAAAAACAGCTAGATTCCAAGACAAATGTAGAAAACTAAAAACAGGAACATGTCTGCATTGGACCCTGCCAGGAGTCCAACAGATTCTTAAAGCCACTTAGAGAGGTCAAGGTCGAGAGCTTCAAATCTTTTTGTAAGATATTCCAGGAAACAGGAGCGGAGTAGGAGAAGGCCCTTTTGCCTAGTTCAGTCCTCATTGAGGGAACACTGCAGGTAATAATGTCCTGAGAGCGCACTCCGTAGCTGCACTCACGCAGAGACATGTAGGAGGAGATGTATGAAGGCAGCAGACCAAGAAGTGATTTAAAGATGAAAATGTACCAGTGAGAGAGTCTGCGTGAAGTTAATGATGACCAGTTAACCAATGAATACAGGGTGCAGTGGTGGGTACGATAATCACAGCCAGTTATGAATCTTAGTGCACCATGATAGACAGCATCCAACATCTGCAGGGTTCTTGTAGGAGCGTTCATGTAAATAATATCACCAAAATCAATTGAGGGAAGGAAAGTCACAGATACAAGGCGTTTTCTAGCATTCAGGGTTAGACAGGATTTGTTTCTGAAAAAGAAACCCAGATATAGTTCTGATATCGATATAAACAATATAAAAGCCACAGAAAACTGTACAAACTGTACAAATAAATTAATGTTCACATTTTATTTGTATTTAGCCTTCAAAGAAATTTGAAATCACCGTCACATAAACATAAAACTCTCAACTTTGTCAATATTAATAGTTTTAACTTTAAACAACATAATAACCTAACCAATGCAGCAAATGTCTGCGTTTGCTGCATGGGTTTCTCTTTTGATACAGCTGGGGGTGTTGTTTCAGGGACACGTTGGCTCAAACTTTATTGTGCTTCATCTTCTGACTCTCAGCATATTCTATTGAGTGAAACAAGTTCGATGTGTTCCCACCGCTAGTTGGAACGACTCTCCGTCACATTTTGCAGCACACTGACTGAAACCTGCAGTTTATCGGATCTTAGAAAGCCGAACCACTTCCACACCGCCTAATTAGTCTTTCCTCTCTGTTATGACCCGGCTCAGCTAGGAGAAGGGGAGGCAACATTAGAAACCCAGATGGAACAAGTTTGAATAAAAGTAATAATTGAATTGGTCAGTTTAAAACAAAATTTAACATTAACAAAGAGGAGGGGTACTTTCAAAATACAAATTACAATAAAGTTTTCACAACCAAGTCAATAACAAAATTAAGGTTAACCAAGTGAACGAATACTCAAACCAAATTTACAATGAGTCATAACAAAAAGTAAACAAGTAAGCCTTCTAACTGTTTTCAGGGGCTTACAAACGACACCAACTAACAACAGCAACTGCAGGGTTTAACTGTTGGCCAAAGCCAAACAATTCACGTCAAGAGACTCAAGTCCAAAGACACAGAAACCCATACTAATGGCGAGCTGCTCTATTTAACAGCCGCCCTGAATGGCAGGAGAGCTGGGTTTAAATAAGCAGGCCTCTTCTGTGGTTGGAGGAGCAGGAGGTGAAGAAGCCAACCAGGATGCAGATTGATGTCCATTGGGGAGGATTCAGGAAGTGAAGCAGCCAATCCCAGATGGGCCACAGCACAGCTGAGTCAGCAATCAACCTGCAAACACTTTTGCTCAACCAAATGGCCTCAGGCCATAACATCTCTTATCAGTTATGTCATCTGCTTTCTCCGCTTGTGAAAGCTTGTTCAGTCACATTCTGACGGTCATGAGCACTCGTTTTGAAGCGAAAACTTACTGTCTGTTGGAGCTTAGCCTAGCCTAGCCTGCTACCGCTGACTCCTTCTGGACTCGAGCTCTGTGTGTGGTGTACGTCACCACGCACATACGTGTTTGTGTCGCGGCTTTTTCTGTTCGGGTTGAAACTGAAGCGTTCGCTTCAACCTGAACAGAAAAATAAATGAATCGGTGAATTGCTTTAATCATAGCGTAATGTGTTTCGAAATATCAAAAATGTGCTCAAAACTCATATCACCCTTATTGAATCAAAGTATATCGTGACATATATTCATATCAAGTTATTTTCCAGCCCTAGATCCATCCATCCATTATCTTTTACCCACTTCTTCCATTTTGGGTCACGGGGGTTGCCGGTGCCCATGTCCGGCAATCACTGTGCGAGGGACGGGGCACACCCTGGACAGGTCTCCAGTCCATCACAGGGACACATAGAGACAAATGAGACAAACAACCATTCACTCTCTCACTCACACCTAGAGACGATTTAGAGTTACCAATCAGCCTAACATGCATGTTTTTGATCTGTGGGAGGAAACCGGAGTACCCGAAGAAAACCCACACATGCACGGAGAGAACATGCAAACTCCACACAGAAAGGCCCCCGGACCGGGATTTGAACCAGGGACCTGCTCGCTGAGAGGCAGCAGCTCTACCAGTTGTGCCACCGTGCTGCCCAGCCCTAGATCCAAGTAATAATAATAATGATACCAACCTTGTGTAGTTTAAATCTTGGAGCACTGCATGTCTTCATGTAGAGAACAAACATACAGTTTCTCTGTCTTGGTTCTTTAATTTCTCATGTCCTGGATGACTGAGAATCCACAGCAACTTATGATGATAATGTTAGAGTCAGACTGTATCGAAACTAACGTGATGGGATCGATACATGAGTTTGTTTCTCCTTCAGTGCATCATTCCCATTCCAGAAATACGTTACGCTAGAGAAAACTGTCAAGAGGCAAGCTTAAATATAACCTCTATAGGAAACAAGCATTTCAGATAATTTAATCAGTTCTGATTGCACAACTTCAGAATGCTGACATGTTCAGCATCCATATTTACTTCTGTAACATCACATTTTCTACTGCTCATGTGTGTCAACCCAGAACTGGAAAAGGTTCACAATCAAGTCTGATGAAGGCCACATTTTGATAACGATGTGGACGTCTATGCGAAAAAATTGGACCTGAGCAAAAAAAATCAGAATTGAGCTTTAAGACCTGCTGTGTGAACGTAACCTAAGAATAATAAAATAAGAAAGTCATTATTCACATAATGCTGCACTACTAAATGTATTATTCTTTGTGTAGTAAAAGTAGGCATGCAGTAAGCTGATGTTAGATGGTAAGTCATGCTTATTTTCTGCCTTAGTAGCTAGTTTAGTTGTTTATTCCATCAGTGCAGTGCAGTAGAAGCAGCAACTACCTCTGCAAGCTTGATATTGCTCCTTGTCCAGCACCTGACTGCTCAACCGAGAGGTGGATGTCACGCTGCCTTGAAGTGGTATATCAGTACTGTAGTATCAAAACTTTGTTACAAGAACAAGTACATGTGTAGACGCATGCAGTATCAGACCTGATACTCATAGTGGTGCATCCCTTCTTAAGGATAATACATTTTATTCTTTGTAACAAAGACATGTGATATTTGAATAAAATTACATGCGCCTTTGTTGGATATGGGTTTATTCGTTTCCCCCTGTCTATTTTCTCCAATTCAAATTAATGTTGAACAAGAAGCCAGTGTAGTTTTGCTGCTGGTGAACTAGGAGGCATTCTGTATGTAGGTGTGGATTTGTTGTCTTATTAACAAAGCCTTGCAGCGTCATGTTTCATCTCACTTAAGAGCAGCAGCATCTGGATCAACATTAAACATTAAACAGCACATA